TTCCTCTGACCAGAAGTTCAGGTATTGGAGAAGATATCGAGCATTTGGGCGAGTACAAGTACTTGCCCAAATACTCTATCTGTGCATCCCTAATCAAAAATGTATTGGTCTGTGCTAAATAGCGACCAATGAGTGCTTGCAATTTGCGAGCGAAATTCAAATGCATAGGGCAGGATTGCGCTGGACAGTACACCTGTACCGGCGGAGGGTAAGGACTGTTTGCCGAAAGGTAAGTATAGCCGGGGGGTGGGGGGTTTTGGGAGAGACGGGGGCCAGATTTGATCGGGTAATTCCATTTTCCCATATTACCTGGGAAAGTGAACTTGCCCTTTAATGCACATTGTACGTGTGGGAGAGTTCTGCTGCCTCGCTACCACAATACGGCACAGTGAAATGGCGGCAACCTCCAACACATCTGATCTGATGTTCTGTGTAGTTCCTGACAGCTGAGACAGGTGGCGCTCCTCCATTTTTCGTCTGCTCTATGGTGAGCTCATGTTCCGTGGTTTCGGGTCCGCTAGAGGAGCGGGGACCCCGAAAACCATCCACATCCCTGTGTATGCACACCTTTCATGTATTCAAAGGTTTTAGTCATGTCCCACCTTCCCTTTCTTTCATTGAAGTTGTAAATATTAAGTCTCTCCTGATATAGTTTAACCCTCAGACCTTTCACTATTTATGTCATCATTTTTAGCGATTATGGGGAAGCGCGTATCGGAAGGTTTAGTTTCCCCACACGTAATAGAAAGGAATGGTGTTTTTCCTATGTCACGCTTAAAATCACATACATTGGTACATGTTGCCACTCTCACATAGGAAGTTGGATTCGCGGAGAATTCAAATGCATTTTTGCACTTTAAGGAACACAGATAAGCACACTGTACTTTTATTTATCAACTTTTAAAATAGAGTAGCTGGCAAAAGTACTCAGGTCCTTGACAAGTTATTTCAATACACTGTATATCAAACCCAAGAGGAATATTTTATTCAAATGTATTAAAGCCCAGAATTGGTTGTTTTTTTTGGTATTTGTAAATTTTAGAAAAAAAAAAATCAAACACTATATTTTAAGATTTTATAGTGCCAGATTTTGCTGTAAACACTACTGTTAAACCATGACATTTAACAATCATCACATTTATGTTGAGTAGCATAAGTACCTGGAATTTTATCTTACATTAGCTTCTTATAATCCTTGCCCAACAGCCCTCTGACTGGGATAGGGACTCTAAGGCAATATAGGCTCTATTGTTTGCAGGGAGCATGCTTTCAGGAGAGAAAAGCAGAATGATGATGATGAGCTCATGGTGGCTCATGATGGTGTGCTGCTGCTCCTTCATTGTCCAATCCCTGCAAAATATTTTCTTATTCAGTAAGTTGAAAGTACTGGTCTAATGTTTACTGTATAGTGTAGTAAAGAACTGAATTTACAGTAAGGTTCTGGACAGTATTATACAAACAGTTAGTATTTCCTAGGTTGTTGCAAGATGAATAAAGTGGAAATACCATTGGTCTTCCATTGCTGGTTAGTGTCTGTGATTGTGTCTGCCTATTCAGCAGCTTACATGGCTACCATACCATTACCATACCTAAAATGTCGAATACCTTTTACTGTAAAGTGACAGAGATTTTCCAATATGTTTGAAAATGTTCTTGAGTGATCACTGCACATGTGCATTACATTCTGTTATGTTAAACTCCTAAATATATTGAAACTATACGCAAAGATAATTTAATATATATATAACCTATTGTCAAAATAGGGTCATGGCCTCCTATTAGAAAAATGTGATGTGGTACCTAATTGTCAGTGCATCTGCACTTACCATTTTTTCCTAGTCCTCCTGCAAAGTTTTACAAATGTCCATTGTTTTTGCCAGAGTCAAATAGGCAGGTGTGCCTTCTTCCACGGCACTGGAATGAGAATATTTTTTCGGGGACGTGGCTATTAGCATTGTCACTGCTTATTGATAAGCTTGTCAATCAGAAGCTGGCCACTCCTAGTCCCAATTCTTTCAAAATGGCAAAACTGACTGTACTGCTGAAACCCTCCCACTGTTGGCTGCAGTGTCTGAGAGGGGGAGCATGTGAGACACGGATGAAGAAAGATTTGGCTGATTCCAGTGATGTGAAAGGAGCTTTTTTTTTTTCATTTATGAGGCATCTTAACAATTAGATGTGAGACCTGCTTAGACTGCCACTCAGGAGCCCTCAGATATTTTTAAGACTAATGTAATCTTCCTTAGTTGACAGTGCATGGATGGCTTACTTTACATTTTGTAGATAGATAGATAGATAGATAGGATACATGGATAATGGATAGATTAATGGATAATCATATTTGTGTTAAATAATAACTTGTGTTTTGTAATGGGATCATTTTACCAGTTGCCATCAGCAATGCTGTTATTGCCCTCACATAATAACAGATGTGTAAAATCATACAGCAGAACAGAATTGTCTGATATATGTTTTTATTGTGTATAATATTTACTTGTACCTATATTGATTGCTTTTTATCGATCGGTTACTCATATTCTTCTCTGAGGCCAAATACTTAAAAGTATGTTCAAAAGAGACCATCACACACAATTGTTCCTGGAAATCAGTGAAAGAGGAATAAGCACTCCAAGATGTATTTTATGCTGTAAAGAGAGAACAGGTTTTACAAAGAGGGAGAACACATCCCATATCCTTCTGCTTTCATGCAAGCTTTCACATTTACAGCTGAGAGCTTTTTCTCTATACATTGAAAAGAACATTCTTGGGTTCTTGTTATTTTTGAGATTAGGAGGAAGGAACAGTGGACTGCTAATGCACAAGAGCAGGCATACTATCAATTAAATATTGCTTAGCTACATAGGTACATGTTGTGCAGATGAAAAATCCATTAAGTTTGTCATTCATACATTCTAACTACGCTTAACAAGAGAAACATAACACAATCCACAATATTTTTTCCAATAGGCCGGTTACATTTCATAGGAAAAGATATGTTAGCTCCTGCATCTTAATGGCAATCATAAATGTGCCCATATGGTACTTATGCCTATATGAATATTATGATGCAATGCAATTACATTTATAGGCCTGTGTAGAACTGGCATATTCGCTTGCCCGATATAGTGGGTGCATTCTCTCTAAAACGCATGAAGCTGCATGGGCCCCAGACTTCCACAACTTTATAGAAGGGAATTGGTGGCGTTCACACAAACAATAATGATATTGCAGCATTATGATGTTAGCTCTACTTTTGTTTCCATCTGAGCAAATACTAAAGTCTGGAAGCCCTCTTATATGGGCATGCTTCATTAGAAAAACAGTTTATATCATCCATGAACTAACAGGTGTAAAGCATGCTACATTTTGAACATATGGCCTGATTAGACTTATGAACTGTTGATCACATGCATAATTACACAACACCTAACACTATAGACCCTCTTTTCACTCACTGATTTACAAAGCCAGCATGACATGGCTACAGGCACTGGTGCAATTAATGCACTTACTGACAGACACTCATTACCCTATTAGTCTCAGACAAATGTCCTTTACCAGTATTAGGGGACACAATTTCTCTCAACTTGATTTAACTCTTTTTGGATAGAGTTCTCTACTTCTAAACTTTCTAGTTCAAGTTTGTCAGACTTTGCTTTATCATAGATATAGACATACATTAAGTGAAGCAAAAACTGCACTGGCCATAGAATAGAAATACAATTGCACTTGGACTTAAAATAGGTAACAATATGGCCACAAATATATGAGGGTTTTTTTTCCGGCAACCATACCAGAAAATTATCTTTCCAGGAAACATAGGAAATTAGATATAAAGATTTTCACAATGGAAAAAAATATTATTTCCTATTCAACTTATGAGGTTGCCATAGGCAGTAAGGTCAGTTACAATCTGCCAGGTCTGTATGTTTGACAATATACAGATGTCTTGCTGCACTCCTTACCGGTATCCCAAACGTAGTAAATGTAATCTTTGAGCCTGATGAAGGGGACCCTGCGCAGCCCCAAAAAGCGATTGTCTGATTGATATTGTTCATCAATAAATTGACTTTTTTCGTTCTAACACAATACTTGGTGTGCTGGTGATGTCTTCATCGATCTGTATGTTTGAGACCCAGACAACTTGGGCAGCCTCCATTGAACATTTAAAATAGGGCTATGATGACCACAAACACACGCCAATAAAACTGTCTGTGCTTTGCATTTTTGACTTTGTAAGTGATAAACAAAATGTAGATATGGAACCTTGGAGAAATGGTGGTGTTACCCACAGCAAGAGGTCTTATTTTGTCTTGTAAAGCCAGTCATACAAGGTAACATGTTGTCTAGCCTGCTTGTGTCTAGCATAGCATTAGCTTTAATGGTGGCTGCTACAAAGAGTGCAGGAGAAGGAGGTGATGAGAACAGGGGGCCGGGTCTGTTCTTGGCTATCCAACTATTAAGTATGGGCCAGCTCAGTACATACCCACCTATCATTCTCAGCCTTTCCCTACTGCCTGTGTATTAGCCACAATTAAAATAACTGCTGTTAAATCTACAAACATATTTTGTAGTGAGAAGACCCCAAAGGAGCACTTCTTGAGATCTTTGCTGTTGCTAGTTTTGCTAGGGTTGCAGGGTAAATGGTTTACTTAAAATCACATTTATCCTCTAACCTACAGGTTTATCATCCCGCCCTTTCAGTATGTGTGCAGATGTGTGTCCAATATCTAAGCTTACTCTACCAGATAATTATCCCTTGTATGTCCCTGAAAGCAGACCTCTTACTGTGGGCAGCACCACTGCTTTTCCATAGTTCCAGATTTGCTTTTTATGCATCACTTGATATGTCAAGAATGCGTATACTGACTATTTGTTTAAGACTTCCTTAGGTTTATTTAGACATGTTTCTTAGTATATTGCCTTATATTGACAACATCTACATTTCTTGTAACACTGAATACATATCTTAACTTTACTGTTCCTTTTTCTATGAACAGATGCGTACAACTCAAAAGGTCTCAGTGTGGCCAGTTGGCCTTGTTGGAGGAAGACGATATGAACGGCCAGTTGTAGAAAAAGGGAAGGTTGTGGGCTGGTACACCGGATGGAGAGCAGACAGACCATTTGCCATTGACATGGCTGGTAAGTAATAAATAGAACACTTTAAACATTATTAAAACAATATTTTTTAATTTAATACTTCCAGTTGCAATTTATTTAGAAGCATATTGGAGATAATACAGACTTTTCTTTAACCACTTAAAGGCCATAGTGTTTCACCCCCTTCCTGGCCAGGCCATTTTTCAGTATTCAGTGCTGCGGTACTTTGACTGATGTTTATTCTGTCATGCAACACTTTACTGAAACGATTTTCATACCATTTTTTGGGGACAGATAGAGCTTTCTTTTGGTGGCTTTTATTCACCAATGGGGTTTTTATTTTTTACTATATAACAAAAAAAGTACCATAAATTTTGAAAAAAAACATGTTTCCCTATAAAATTTTATTAAACATTTATTTTTACCCCAATTTTTTGGTACAATATAAAAGACGGGGTCACGTCGGGTAAATAGACACTAAACATGTCAACCTTTAAAATTGCGCACGCCCGCGAAATCGCAGAAAACGACCGCAGCCAAAATTGGCCATAGGCGACGCTTTAAACGCTTTTACCGCTCATCAGTTTAGTGTTATCAGTGATTGATGGCCCTAGAATTATTGTTCTCACTGCGACGTTCGTGGCGATATGTAACATGTGCTGCATAATGGGCGCAATCGTCGGTTTCGTACATAGGCGCACCCGACTCATGTTTGCATGTGTATGTGGGGGGCGGGTGACTTTAAAAAAAATTTTGTTTTATTTTTTTTAGCTTCTTTATTTTTTTAGCTTCTTTATTTTTTTTAATGCTGTAATTTTTTTTTTTTACTTAACTTTATTGCTATAACATAGGGGACTAAGGACAGCGGCGACGGACACAGGTGGGGGGGGGGGCGCGCACACCCGCAGATCATGCGCCTGATCGCTTGTATGTAAACAGCCACCGCTGGCTGTTTACATGCTAACAGTTTTCCCTCTCGTGTAAGGCACCCAGCGCGCGCACGAGAGGGGGGGAGGGGCAGGACGTCTTAAGACGCCCACCCGCTCTGAGCAGACTTCCGTCCGGCCGTTCACAAACGGCCATGGACGGAAGGTGGTTAATCAGATGCTTTCACTCACAAACTTATTCACTTAAGATAAGTAATAGGAGTGTGGCCTAACTAAAATACGTAAAGTCTATGACTATATGATGCTCCATAATTTATATTTTGTGAGAGCAAGTATAAACCTGAACCCAACTGAAAACATGAATCAATCTGGGACACATATCTCTGACCAAGCCACTCAAGGTTCTATAGTTTTAAATTGTTTTTTTGACTATACATTTACAATCTTTGTTTTACAAATAAATATTTATTAAATAACAAAGGCTTTCCAGAGCACTTGTGGTTATATAACATAGGACAGGCAACAGCTGCTCGCTTTAGGCTCACTTTGTGTGATTACAACCTCAGTGGAGCAGTTCAACAGAGATAAGTCACAGAGTCATTGCTTGGGCTCATTCCATTGTGTAGGTAAATTTCAGCTGGACTTTACTATACTCAGTAAACAATGGGCATTTTACAGCAGGTGGTCAGTAAGGATGAGGAGAGTGACATGACAAAAAAGATTTTGCAGAGAAATTGCTGGTTGGCCATGGGAGAAATTTTGCCATAGCAAAAGCTCTCACTCTCAATGCTGCTACTACTAAAATCTACTCTTTTTTTTAATTTGAGTATTTTTTATGTATATATGTTAGATTAGGTTTTTTTACTTGATTTTCTTTGTACTTGGATGGTTTTCCTTTTTTTGTGTATTTGAATGTCATGTTTGTACTGCTGCTTCATATTTTATGTTTTGCCTTTTTATAGTTTCTTTTTTTACATCAAATAATGAATCTATTGTAGGGGTATTTGTTGCCACAAGAACATGTTCAGGATAGCTGAAAGGAGCTTAACCCTGCAGAGGATTTAAAATCCTTTTGCACATCTAAAACTCACCACAAAACACCTTAATTTTGCTTTCCCCATATACTCAAATGCATTTGCCAAAATGGCCAGATTTCACTAATATTTACCAATTTAATACTGAAATTAATTTTTTTTTCTACTCTGCACTGGTAGGACTATAATTAGGGATAAGGATAAGAATTATTGATAATAATCCAAACATCCATTTTTATTATTAGCCCTATATAAAAATATTTGTGTTGCTGAAAGGTGGGAAAAATTGTGTACAGCATTAAATTAATTCACTAATATTTTCAATGCACTCAATAATAATGATACACACGTAGATGAAATCTAGGAAACCTTTATTATTCTATTATTAGAATATTAGTGTGTGAGTCACCATGTGTATGATGTGTGGGCTGCCCTGTATCTGATCAAAACATTAATATAAAGAGAGTGCTTATTTTCATGAGAAGAATGAATACTACAAATAATACAATCTTACACCACTCCCTGCATGTTTGCTTTGTAGTAAATAAGCTGGAGAAAGAGACCATTTTTCTATCCTGGCAACATCTAGTGGAAAACAAAACGCAGTCCGTGACATTTTTAGGTGCCTTTGAGTGTTGACATAGAAGTAAGGAGAAATCGACCTCTTGTATAAATTGTCAGCTCCCAGCTGGGTTTTATTAACTGAATAGGATTTACCTTTAGAATTCTGACATGCCGGCAGGGAATTGGCGATACTCCTCTGGACATGTATTCAATTGGTAAACCATGGCCAGCAGCATCTCATTATCAGCCAGCCTTAAAAATAACACATACATATACCTCAAACAATATAACAAACAAGTAAGCACAAAAGACGTTTCTAGCTAGTAATAATGCAATGATGATGCCTCTGCTATTGCTGTAAGAGAGATGGTGGGAGGAATTCTTGAATCAGGAACACAACTGGTCCACCTAAGGCCATGGCTATGTCAGCTATAGCTACCCGTACTACCCCGGTTTGTAAAAAAAATTATATACAAAAAAAATGTTACTGAATTCAAGTAGTTTGCGTTTCAGGTCAATATTTAAATTGGATTTTAAGCAAAGTTTACAATGAATCTATTGCCAAAAAACAGAGGTAATACAAAAGAGCATGCTATGTACATCCTATTCAACTATGTAGGTATCCAGCAAAAGGAGTAATATAACTAGCTTGGCATAGCTCGGATAACTTCCTGTGCTCTCTGCCTGTGCTGACTGATCAGTTTGTTCTCTTGTACATAGCCTCGCCACTACAGAACCTTGCACCTATGTTATGAATTATAGTAGAGCAGCAGGGTTCCACAGTCTTATCTTGCTTTTGTTGTCCTGATTTAAAAGGGTGAGTGTTGTCATTCTAGGACTGGATGTGTGTCACTGGCAGAATCACCAGGTGAAAATAAAAGGTAAACGAAGCTGCAACATATTCAAGTTTTGTTTTTGGATTTGGCTACCACTGTTGATAAAAAGATATAAGCCCCACAATTAATGCAGTGGATTCAATGAATTGGCCAACTCACATATTTTTACAGACTTGCATTGAGAAAGACTAGTATACATAAAAATATGATGCCGTCTGCCAATAGCATTAACACGGCAGTCTTTTTTCTGAATCCCCCCATAACATATTTTTAATACCTTTTAATCCTGCCAGTAAGTCTATTATTTTTCAATTTCCTTTTTGCAGATGGGGGTTGAGACAAACCATTTAACACGGACAAGAGTGCTTACAATTGTTAGTTTTTATTCTTTTAGCTAAAACCTTCATCCCAAAAGAAAAAAAGGGAAAAATACAGTTTCTGTTACTGCATGCACTGGCCAAGAGAAAACTATAACCTGGATTTTCCACAGACCTAAAAAGAAGAGACATTTAGCCTGCAAATGGGGGGGGGGTTATCAAAACTGGAGCAGACAGAATCTGGAGCAGTTGCCCATAGTAACCAATCAGCTTTTCTATTTTGTTTGTTCAGTTTAGCTTTGAAAATGAAAGATAGAAGCTGATTGGTTGCTGTGCACAGCTGCTCCAGATTTTGATACATTTCCCTCTATGTGTGGCTGAAAGCCAATACTGTTCCCCATTGTGCAACTTGATGAGGGTAGGATCATGCCGTGGGGTTTTTTTTTGTCAGGGAGTAACAAAAATGATCAGGATTGAGGACAAGACGGATAGAGCCAAATTTAGGAGAATTTTGGGGAACAACTTGCTTTAGTCTGCAAGAGATCTGAGGACTAGGGAGGTTTACCTACCAGCAGGAAGAAAAAGACCTTACAAGTAAAAGATGAAGCTAGTTAAGAAAAACAAGAAACTGAATGTGTAAGAATGGCCATGGTCAAAGTCTGGCCTCAGTCCGAGAACTTGTTCAAGACTTGCAAGTTGCTGTTAACCAACAGTACCTCTGAATTCTGACAAATTCTCAGAAAATAGGTTAAAGAAAAACTGTAGGATCCAAATACGCAACCTTGGTGACAGAGAGGAATCTTAAAAAGCTAACAGATGAAATCACAGCTAAAGTTGTTTCTACCAAGTATCTAGTCTTGGGGTTAATATGTATAAACCCTACTAATGTTTACATTTTTAGAGTTTCTAATAAAACTATTTTGCACTTTTGAAGAGTTAAGTCTGTTGTGTAATGCAAACGGTTAAAATCCCAAATGAATAGATTTTCATTTTAGGCTGCAATACTATAAAATAAGAAAATGTACAAGGTGAGCACACCATATACCAATATGCTGTCACTGACTGTCCCAGTTCTGTTTGTAATGATTGATTTGTAACTGTCATTCAGTGACATTTTAATTGTAAACTGAGGCTAAAAAATAAGGTATTTTATTGATTAGAATACATTGCAAAATTCATAGTATCAACCAAGCATGTAATAGTTTTTCTGTTATTTTTTAATATTTGACCTATATACTATAAACTGATGCCTAGTTTAACCCATATCCACTACTGAATTTACTCTATGTTCTAAAGACTATTTCCTGACAATATTCCATAGTGTGTTCAGTATGGAATATTGCTCTGCCAAGCTCTCCGGATTCCCTGCTTCATTATAATTATTGCAGATCAAGTGCCTCTCTG